TATGTGAAGATGGATGATTGAGCGCTTGGGCAAAGCGGGGTATGGGGTATGTTTCGAATGTGGAGTTCGATATTCACGATGTTGATCGCGGTGAAAAGGAAAAGCTTCTATACCACCACAGCGAAAAACTTGCGGTAGCCTTCGGATTGATCACGACCCCGGCGGGAGCTCCTATTAGAGTGAAGAAGAATCTTAGAGTGTGTGTTGATTGACATACTGCATTCTAATTCATAAGTGAAATTGTCTCCAGGGAAATCATTTTGAGAGATATCAACAGATACCACCATTTTAAAGATGGTTCATGCTCTTGTGGGGATTATTGGTGAGAATTCTTCAGTTCATTCATGTTCCAACTCTCAATCTTTTCGATTCGGGCCATTCGAGTTTGACACTCGTATTATTTGGGTTCAAATATTGTTAATTCATTATATAGTAAAAAAAGTTATTTATAAAAATATTTAACATTGAAATTACTTTAATAATAACGGAAAACAAATGACTTATTCATGATCGAACATAAAAAGAGCATGTGATACCATGCCTAAGATTGGAGAAGAAAGAGCCAGACGCCAATACCAGTTTTACTATAATTCATAACTCGACACATTTCTCTAAATAGATATTCCAAGGTTGTGGAGCCCCAATTGAACATGTTAGCTACTTCAAAATCAATTAGGTGACGCAACCGCATACAATACACTTGGTTACGAGATTTGTCAGGCATCAAGATCCTCCTATGATTTGTAATATATATGCTCGAGCAAATGCTTTTGCCTCATCTTTGGAACAATTTTGGTTCAACTCTTCAAAAGTGGATTACAACTATGATAACGTTATTCGACCAACGTTGAATTACATTGGGAATTTCGTAGATACTCCATTCACAAATAATGCTAATCACCATCCCATACACCACAAATAATAGTTCCATCTACCGAAAACCCTAAATGCAATGAAACATACTTCAAGATAATGATACACTCCCCACATGAAAGATGTAATGCGTGTGTCTTTGGTCTCCAACTCTCGACTAGTGCAGAAATGAGGGTATGTTCAAGTTTACAGCCTCCAACAATTTTCGCTATGTAACCAAATTCAACATATGATAAATACCTCCAGATACGACGCAATGTGCTTATCTTATCATTATTAATAAGCACTTTTAATATATGATCATTTTCATAATTAATAAAAATTTTACGAATTAAAAATTGAAATGATATTGGATAAAATATTGAATAAATAAAATTATTAAAAAATTAAATTAACATTATTTAATATTTTTACCATGTTGTCAAAATGATTCAAAATATGGTTTGCATCCAATCACAACATGTCTTCCATTTTATAACTACACAAAAAATTAGTAATTACAATTAATTAATAAAATAATAAAGTATTTAATAAATATATTAAACGAATAAAATTAAATTTATACCTTCATGAAGTTTTCCCGACGACAATTTGAACCAACTTGAAAGAGATTATATAGAGAAAGATGAGGGGAGAACAGGGGTTTATGTGGGTAAGTTGGGTGGGAGAGCTCGGCGATAATAGTTGGTGGAAAGAGAATGTGTATTTTTCAGATCACGCCTACCAGCTGGTGCCCTAAAATCCTGTGAAGGCTCGCCCTGAAGGATGTGCGTTCCAGCTGGTGAGCGAAAACTCCGGTAAAAACTACCCTGTTAGACGCGCCTTTAGGCCACATCAACAAGGTATGTTTCACAAAACTCGTTTCTTTCTTATTTTGTCAAAAAAGTACTACTTTAATACATATTAAAAAAGGGGGGTTAAAATGGTGTTTTCTATTTTTTTAAGTGACTTAGGGATAAAAGTGCATCCCTTCCAATCATCATAAATTGACGTTCATATTCCCATCAAAAATAGTTTCCAAACGTATTTTATTATTTTAAAATTCTAGTTAAACACGTCTAATTCCAAACGTATATATATAAAAAAGTGTGGATATAAAGGAAAATGAAATTTTGAAGAAGATGGTACTAATTTCAAAGGTGTGGACCCGGCAGCCGAAATTTGGTGGCTGCCTTTGGAGTGTCAAAAATCTTTGCAAATCTTATGGAATTTTTGTTGTGCGACTCAAAAAAACGGTTAAAATATGACGTGATCTATTAAATAAGTGATTGATTAAAATTTAGATCGATTATATTATATTATTTAATTGAAAATATTATTAAATAAAATAATATATTAGGTAACGCTTATATAATGTAATAGGTAGTGCTTATATTGACCTATTTTCTAACAAACAAATATATTTAAACAGATAACATTGTAAATTTATCTATTACATTATAATTATCGATTTTGATGTTTTTGGGATTGATACAATTTTAAATGTATCAACACTTTATGCGTGCACCTCGTTGTGTTTTCATTTTGAGAAAAAAGTATCGACACATATTTAAAGAATATTAATACATAATGTAAACCTATTTGCTAATTAACTAGTATATATTTACATGTTACATTGTAAATTTACATGTTTCTAGGTTTTTGTTCTTTGAAAAATTGATAACATGGTGGGTTACCCAATATTATTCTTTTGTTACTGTAAAGTTTTTATTCTTTTCTTACTGAGTTTTGCTTAAAATATCCAACTTTTTGCATTAAAAAATGAAAATTCTGAAATAAAAATGACCACACAAGCACACCTTTTTACTACCAGTTTTGTCATTTCGAGACCGATTATGTTATATTTTTACATGTTATATTGTTATGGATCGATACATTTTTATAAAGTATCGACACTTTATTGGCGCTATAATTTCTTTTCTTTTAAATTCCAAAAGTGTCGATACTTATAATAAAGTATCGACACTTTCAACATATCCTGTAGCTATTTACCGGTTTTGTCATTTCGAGACCGATTTTTTCATATTTTTACCTGTTATATTGTTATGGATCGATACATTTTTATAAAGTATCGACACTTTATTAGCGCTATAACTTCTTATCTTTTAAATTCCAAAAGTGTCTATACTTATAATAAAGTATCGACACTATCAACATATCTGGTAGCGCTTTACCTGTTTTGTCATTTATAGACCGATTTTGTCATTTTTTTACTTGTTATATTGTTATGGATCGATACATTTTTATAAAGTATCGACACTTTCAATATATCCGGTAGCACTTTACCTGTTTTGTCATTTATAGACCGGTTTTGTCATTTTTTACCTGTTTTATTGTTATGGATCGATACATTCTTATAAAGTATCGACACTTTCAATATATCCGGTAGAACTTTACCTATTTTGTCATTTATATACCGATTTTGTCATTTTTTTTACTTGTTATATTGTTATGGATCGATACATTTTTATAAAATATCGACATTTTCAATATCTGTTTTGTCATTTATAGACCGGTTTTATCATTTTTTTTATCTGTTATATTGTTATGGATCAATATATTTTTATAAAATATCGACACAAACCGGCAAGCTAAGTTTGCCGGTTGCTAAATTTTTTAATATTTCTTCATAATTTCCACCTATTACATTATTATTACTCGATATTTCCGGTAGCGCTAAACCAAATTTATCAAATATATTTTAATATATCCGGTAACGTCGTATATTAGTCCGCATTTCCTGAGACAATCCCAAATCTTATGGCAGCCATCCTAGTCTTTTTAACAAAAAAAAAAACCGAAATTTCTAAAAAATAAATATTGAGAAAATTTAGAAGAAAAATAATTATTCACTTAATTATACCAACGCAATCTTCTGTTCTATCATTATCTTTTTCATTTAATAATATTATAAAATCATAATTAATCTCAATATTTATTGAAATGATTATTTTAATTTATATTTTTTATTTGAAGTATATTAATTTCTAACTTTTAATTTTTTGGTATAAATCTTATAACATTTAATTGAATAGTATTTTGACTCTTTTTGTTAGAGTATTTTAACCTCTAATATTTAACTTTTTCTAATTAGGTGGTTTTACTTGGAGCATGTGTGAAAATGGGAAACGCGTACTACTTACCAGAACAGAAAAAAGGAGGAACTGATAGTAGTAGAGTAAATTGTGAAAGAAGAGAGCGTGTGGACACGTAATAACAAACGAGAGTGAAGAAAGGAGCTGTCGGGTGAACATGATACTACACGTCTGAAACTAATCATGTGGGCAGCAGGCGAGAGTGAGAAAACATTTTACACCTTCCAATCAATACGCGTTAAGGAACATGGCGGCATTTGATTGGATCCATTAACAAAACACCTGTTTGGACCAAGCGAGCGGTTCAAAAGGAGGTCTGTCCGGCCACTAGCCCCCCATTTATCGTATCCATAAACCAATGTCACGCGGCGACATTTGCAGAATATGCCGACAGCTTCTTTTGTTTTTTGAAAACTCCCACTTTCCTATTTCCCACCTCACATCACCACCACACGCGCTCCATTCCCCACTTTCATAAAAGCCTTCTAACAAAATTAATCTCATCGTTTGTATAAATATTTATTTTATCTTACATTTATTAATATATTTTATGTATGACATTATCAAAACGATAATATGGAATACACTACCTTATCAATTAAACATGTCATGTGGCATGATTTTCATTCAATATAAGCTGTTTTGATAAAAATTAAAGCAAAAGAGACTAAATACTCCAAAAAAAAATTAAATTAAAATGATCATTTGTGAAAATGTTGGGATTAAAATTGTAGTTATACCTTTTATAAAAAGGGGTGTGGAAGGATAGTATGGAAAGTAGAGTAAGATGGAGAACACCAAACCAACCGCACGCAATCAACAGTATTATACAACAGCTGTTGATGATTTGTTCGAAGATAAATACACGTGCCACGTAATCTGGATTGGATAATTTACCAAACTGCCACCCATTCAATTCTATTCTACAAAGCCGCCCCCTCTTCAGACAAATCCGTCGTTGACCGAGTATGTTTCTAATTACTCGCCGATTCCACTCTCCCCTTCCTATAAATTAAGAATAACTTTGCCATCTGTTCTCTCTCAACCTCACACAAAATCTCCATTATCGAAATTAAAACATCGTTTTTCCTTTTGAAATGACACCGAAGGAGAAAACGGCGGCCGTCAAGGGAGGAGGCATCGGTGGCGGGAACATTAATAATGAAGTTCATTTTAGAGGAGTAAGGAAGCGTCCATGGGGGCGTTACGCCGCCGAGATCAGAGATCCGGGGAAGAAGAGCCGTGTTTGGCTAGGGACTTTTGATACGGCTGAGGAAGCGGCCAGAGCCTACGACGCAGCCGCCCTGGAATTCCGCGGCGCCAAGGCTAAGACTAATTTTCCCGTCCCTCGGGAAAATCTAGTCAAAGGGAATAACAGTAAAAGTAACGGCAATAATATGAACAACAACCGTAGCCCTAGCCAGAGTAGCACCGTCGAATCACCCAGCCGTAAGCCGGCTCTCGTGATCGATTCTTCGCCGTTGGATCTCAACCTCGTACAAGGTGAGACGATTAGCGGCTATGCACCGGCGACCGATCGGTTTCCTTTCCAGCAATCTTCGCTTGCGCCGTATATCGCCGGGCACAAAATCTTCTACTTTGATCCGTTCGTTCGGCCGAACGGCCACCAGTTTCAGCGCCTAAAACTCGATCATCATGATTTCCACGTGTCGATGTTTAACGTCGGAGTACAAAGCGACTCCGATTCATCATCCGTAGTCGATTTGAACAACCACGAGGTCAAATCACGCCCCCTTCTGAATATCGATCTCAACCAGCCCGCTCTTCAGGAAATCGCCTGATTTTTTTTTCTTTCTCGCCGATCGTCCAACCGGAGAAAAGCTATAATTTTTTTATGTTCCTTAAGTTGAATCGAAGGTAGATTAGAGAAAATGAGACCCAAAAAAGAGACAAAATTACTGCAGATTTGATGTGATCTATCAGTTTGTGTATAGTTTAGCTGAAGAACTACCCTTTTTCGCAGCAGAGAAACTTCATTTCTCCGTTGTTTCATCAGTAGAATTACTGTATTTTTTTTTTATTTCCAATGAATTAAGAACCAAAAAATTTCCTTCAATTTTGTCCACAAAATATTGCGGTGGCCGGAATCTGGAAAAATAATTCCGGCAATGCTTATTTATTATTGTCGGGTGAGCTGAAATAATCTAATTTAGATACTTTTAAATTTTTTATGTTGGTGGATGAATTGATTTAGTATCAACTTTCTTAATTTGTACTGTAATCTAATCAGAAAAAATTAGTTGAACCAAAAATGGGTAATGTAAATTGTAATTTTAGGACAGTTGAAATATATATATTAACTAATATTTCCCCACACCAGATTTGTCTCCATGTATACTAAACCAGGGTAGTATGAATGTCTTTCTCTTCCTTTGATTGGCTAAGCCTCAAATACATATATAATCATAAAATATTCCTTCCACATTTTCTTCTTTTCAATTGTTTTATAGGATACTGTTCAAATGTTTGCTTTTTTTTCTTTCGCATTATCTATTTATAATTTTAATTATATATTATTCATTTATTATATTTTAATTATTTACCTCATTAGTTTATAATACGGTCACTCAACGATAATTTCATAATTGAATCATTAAGTGATATTAATTTGATAGCATGTTACGTTATTAAAACATGTTAATTTTTAATCTATTTCATAAATTTTATATACAACGTTAATTTAATGTTTAATTTTTTTTAATAAAACATAAATCTAATCAATAAATTCAAACAAAGTCCTTTATACTGATCGTCGTCACCGGTCAGTACCAGTGACCGATCAATCACAGTGCTCACATTCATTGATAACCGTTCCATCTTAAAATTTCTGAGTTCGTCTCTTTTGAATCTCTTGAACGCAAATCTACTTTATGTTCCATTAAAAAAATATTTTGAGCTCTGTAAATAACGACGCTGAAAATATAAATCCATAATTACATTTTTTTTAATAACATAACATGTTTATTTGACAAAATGAAGCGCTACAAAGATAAAAATTAATGACAAAAAAGGAAAATTTTCTAACAATTATATTTGAAAGGTTACAGTACATTAGTTAAAAAATTTATATAAAACATCAATATATATACACACAGAAACACGACCCAATTACTTTTTTGATATTTGTTGAAAAAATGTGTTAATGTTACGATTTATTTTGACAAATATAAAAGACATAAAGCACAGTCCATTTGTTTGATTTTTTAAAAGAAACATCGATTTATTTAAATATATATATATATATATATATGATGTATATGTGTGTGCATTTTTTATGTATAAATTAAATAAAAATATTAAAATTACCAATTTCTAAAAGAAGTAAAACATTCTGAATACGAGTTGGGAGTCCATTTGTTTGATTTTTTTAAAAGAAACATCGATTGATTTAAATATATATATATATATATATATATATATATGTATATGTGTGTGCATTTTTTATGTATAAATTAAATAAAAATATTAAAATTACCAATTTCTAAAAAGAGTAAAACATTCTGAATACGAGTTGGGATTTAGGTGTGTCAACGGGTTAAGTCAAGTTCAGAGTTAATGTTTTCAATCCTGTAACATTGGTGGAGCTGGGTTCAGTTGAAACTCGCACTTAATATCGCCCAACACCACACACAACGGTTTATTTAGAAGAAAAAATAATTTTAGTGACCAAAAATTCCTTATAATATGTGATTTTGACCATTTTTTTTTATTTGCTAAAATAATCAACAAAATCGTAACGCGATCTTCAGTATCGCAAATCAGTTTACAGATTCGAAACGCGATTTTGACTATCGCATTACGATTTTTCAAATTCACGTTGTGATTTTAGAAAATCGCAATACGAATATGTAAATCGCAACGCGATTCTGACTATCGCAACGCGATTCTGACTATTGCGTTGCGATAATACAAAATCGCAATGTGATTTTCAAAGCGCCATTAGTATCGCAACGCGTATTTTATTTTCAAAATCCAAACACAAATATTAATATATCTCGTAATCGCAACTCTTAACCTAAAACCCTAAATCACAACTCAATCTCATCTCTATCTCTCACTCTCTATGGCGACATCCGTTCCTATCTCCGACGAAATCCGTCTCCATCTCCAGCGAAATCCGTCTATCTCCATCTCTCAGAGCCACCCTCACAATCATTCACGGTCAGAAATGAAAAATCAACCAAATCAACCACCGATGGTTAGTTTTTTTAATTATTTTTATTTTAAAATTTTTGCATTATTATTAGGTTTTTCATATTGAAATTATCAATATTGAAATTGATGATAAGTTTACTGATAATTTCAATAATAGATTAATCATTTCACTTATATTGCTTATTAAATTCATTCGATTGCTGCCAATACTGCTAAACTGTTTAGTCTTTAACCCTGTGAAGTTAGTATTTATCTTTGTTTTGTCTTTTGGTTGAAGTAATGCAATTCATTCAAGTTTCAATTTTAGACAATGACTATTTGAAACCGATGATCGCAACACGAAATGAAAATTGCAACGCGATTTTAGTTTCGCGTTGCGATTTTAGTTTCGCATTGCGATAGTCATTTCGCGTTGCGATAGTCATTTCGCGTTGCGATAGTCATTTCGCGTTGCGATAGTCATTTTCGTGTTGCGATTTTCATTTTCGTGTTGCGATTTTAAGTTCCAGAAACTATTCTTCTTCTGCAAATTGAAACTTGAATGAATTGCATTACTTCAACCAAAAAACAAAGACAAATATGAAATTCACAGTGTTGCAAATTTAAGTTTGAAGAATAAACTACTACTACTCTTTATGTTTATTATTGTTTTTGGTATATCTTCACAGTGTAGTTTTTGGTATATCTAGCTTGGTATGTTTATTATTTTTGTAGAACTTTTTTTCGGCTCAATTGACCTTAAGGAATAAAATAAGCCTAGTCACTACAATTGCGTCGAAGCTTTCACCTGCACAAAGAAAATTGTTTGAGGATACTTGCAATTGAATTATTACTTATGATTGCAGGTGTTTATCCCTGTTTTGAAACGTACTCATTGGCTTCTCGTCGAGCTTCAGCTCCTATCCCTGAAGGCAATAGTATATGACAACATGATAAATTACATATCATTGTCTGATTTGAGAGATATTATTAAGGGATTGAGCTTTCATTTGGCTAAATTCTTGGATGCGATTAATTATTGGACTTATTCTGGAAACAAGAAGACAAAGAAGTTCAATGTTACAGTTATTAGAGACGAGACCGCGCCACAACAAATGCAGGAAGCCATAGGGGATTGTGGTCCTCTCGTATGCATGTGCTTGGAGCGTTTGACGACAGGAAGTACACAGTTTCTACCTCCCACCGATAGAGATAGAGGTACAGTAGGCTTGTGATTTCGGCATTTTATGGCTAGAGCGATATATACGAGACGCTGCCTACCTGCATCCGCGTTATGAAAGTGTCCATAAACAATTGGTAAGTCAAATGCAAGTGTTGTTAAGTACCTAGAATTCAATAATTTGTTGTTTGTTGGTTTTAGATGTGTAGAAAGTGTTGTTTGAGCAAATGTTTGGTTTCTGCAGGTTAATCCTGAAGTGAGCTGCGTGAAATTGATGTATGGGTGCATAAACAACTGTCTGGGGTACACTTTTTTTGATTGTTTATTTGATTCTTAAAAGTCTGATTTGTTTAATTGATGAGGAAAATAAGAATTATTATTATTTTTTGCTTGTTTAATTGATTTGTAAAAGTTGATTTGTTTAATAGATGTGTAAATAATTCTTATTTGTGCTTGTTTAATTGATTGAAATGTAAAAGTTGATTTGTTGATTTCAATCTGCATCATATTGAAGGCAAAAGACCTGTTGAAGGTACACTTTCGCAACGCTAAACTCAAAATCGCAATGCGAAAGTCAAAATCGCAATGCGAAAGCCAAAATCGCAACGCGAAAGTCAATTCGCGTTGCAATAGTCTAATACGCTTTGCGATTTTCTCGTTGTGATTTTTGCGTTCCGATAGTCATATTCGCGTTGCGATAGTCAAATTCGCGTTGCGATAGTCAAATTCGCTTTGCGATATTCAAATGAATGTGTAATAAGTGATAACAACTGAACAGATCATAGCAATGTTCAAACTCAAGTTACTAATACATGCCTAACTGAAAATGTTAAAAGTTTACACATAAAATATACATAATAGTCAAATTCGTGTTGCGATATTCAAATGAATGTGTAATAAGTGATAACAACTGAACAGATCATAGCAATGTTCAAACTCAAGTTACTAATACATGCCTAACTGAAAATGTTAAAAGTTTACACATAAAATATACATAATACAACGTTTGCATTTAAAAATCACCTAAGTTAATAGTCCCAAAAGGTGAAGCCGGTTGTGATTGGGATTTTGATTTTGATTGCAATTTTGATTGCCTTTTTCTTTACACCATATGAGCTTTGGATTTTGATGAGGATCCATATTTTGATAGAGGAAAAGATGATTGTGATGGCACTGGTGATCCACATGTCAACCTTGTATGACCACTTTCCTTGCACCGACTACATGTCGATCTCTTCTTCTCTTCACCCTTAGACGGTATACGATCGTGACTTTTTGGTCGGCCAGGTAACCTTCTGTCCATGGCTGGTGGCAAAACTGTTTGTAAGTCATCTGGTATGTCCCACTCAGAAGGATGTGGAATAGGGTAGATAATCTCAGCAGAAGTCTGTCCATATACTTCTGTAGTGTAGCAATCCATAGTGTATGCGCTTGAATCATCTTGGTTTAGATGAAGAGCAACTTTTATAACATGGCCACATGGATAACCAGATGTTTGTCATTTCATACAACTACACGTCTTTGCATTTAGATTGACAAGCTCATTTAAGTTA